GCCTTGATGGATTTATATATTTCCGGAATGCTATTCATATATAAAATAAATATATATATTATTAATCATTTAAAAGGAATGTTCATATTAAATAAAATTTGACATAAGGACATCATACCAAATCACGATGTACAATTCCTTCGTCATGTAAACATGATACAGCACAAGCCAACTGGGATGCCAGGTTATATTTATCTTCCCAAGAAAGCTTATCAAAATTATCCTTCAAATAGTTTTTAAGCGCACCATCATCAGCATATTCCATTACTAACCAATAATTTTTCAATTGATAATTTTGATTTTCTAATTTTTTTTTTTTTTATATACAAATGTGTTAAAAATCAAATTTAAAAGTCAATATAAAGCTATAATAAATCTGAAAAATTTTACCTTGGTTCGATGATGTAATTCCCAAAAAGCGAATGATATTACTATGAAAATCAACTTCCCGTTGTAGTTCAAGCTAGATTATTAAAAATATAAATTTAATTTGATATATAAATGATTTTATACAAAATAGACTGTAGTATATATTATATATTAATTACTTCACGAACAAGTTCTTTAACAGTGGCATCATTAAAGTCATGAAATGATTTTAAAGCTAGAAGTGAGCTTTTCCAATTTTGCACGATAGACTTTTCCAAAGCTACCTTTACCAATCTCTTGAAAATTACTAAATTGTTATATTCGTAGCATTTGATACTTTTTCTTGAGATGGATTCTTCAATCCAATTAATCCATTCATTAGAATTTTTGGAAGCTTGCATGTTGATTTAACAAGTTTTTGTATGTAACGAATGTAAAATTCTTGGGAGAAAAGCAAAAAAGTAAAAAAAAAAAAAAAAATGCACGGTGGTAAATCATGCATGATGATCATTTATTGTCCTTGGATAAAACTTCGGGCCAGTAAACTAGTTGAGTTGAGCTTAAAAATTAATTGCCAACAATATTTCCAATTAGCCGATATGCATAAGCAAAAAAAAAAAACTATATTAAAATTGTTCTGCTCACGGTTACTATGTACCATTAGAACTAAAAGTACTGTAGTTAAATCTAAAATACCAGCCCGCGTTCATCCGAAAGGGCAGAATCAGCACTAAACTAACAAAATCGAAAAAAATTATTAATCAAATAATTAATTAATTTATTATTAAAAACAATAAGATAGACAATATAACGTACCTGACTGCGCCTCCGCAATGAGCCAAAGTGGCGGATCCATTAATAACAAATTGAGGGAAAATGAGAACACATTATCATCATTAAGTTTAAAACAATATTATGATAGTAAGATTTGATTTCTCATTTGTTATAAAAAAAATTTTTGCGAGAAAGGGAATGGTTTCCAACAATTAATCGGATATGTCCACGTTTTAATTATCAAAATTTTATTATGATAAGGATTTAAAACGTTTGTAAGCGAATCAACTCGAAAGAAGAGCCTAAATAGTGCAAAATATGAAAATAAAAAGAAATCATCAGTTACTTCCCCGAAGCAATCCAACAATAAAAATAATAATAATTTAATAAAAAAAAAATATACCTTGCGACGAACCCGAAAGAAATAAAAAAATTTACTAATGATAAAATTAAAATAAAACTTATGTGGCCAACTCAACCATCGAAATCCGTCAAATTTTCATATTTTGAAAAGTTTTGAAAAATAAAGAATTACTTTTTTTATTATTCTGATTTGTAGGCGGATTTTTCGTTGTTGGTCGTCGATCGGGTAAGTATTTTAAAAAATAAAACCGCCTACTGCCCTTCTATTGATTTTAGACGGTGTCATCGAATCGGGCCTTTACTTTGTGAAATTAAAAATTTTTTTTCTACAAGCTTTCCGTAAATATGCTTGTAACACGTAAAAATATATTTTATTCTTAATTTTATTTTTATTTTAGCTGAACTAAGATCAAGTGTCATTTTCACAATACGCGCTATAATATTTTTTGTTTTACGATATGCGACTTTAATTTGTAACAAATAAATAATGGGTGAACCTATCAACGTTACCGATAGTACAACTTCTTCTAGAAAACGAAAAGCATTGCGGAGTGA